ATTATAATCCAAATAAAAAATATTTATTAGAAATATTTATTTATATTTTTATTATAAATATTACATACAGGTAAAATATTTAGTCTATATTTTAATAATACTTCGAATAAAGCTTTTTATAAAATATGTATGAAATATCTATGACATTTCAAAAAATTAATGTTAATAATACTTATCATAAATATTCTGTGCTGTCTGGGATGTACCTTAATTATTCACAAATACTCTACTCGATTTTTGAAATTTCTTTTTCGGGATTAATTAATTCTTAATTAGTTAATTATTGAGATAGCGGTAACGATGTAAAAATGAATTCTTAAAAAAAATAGTAAGTAATTAATTTATTTTCAAAACGTATTTATTTCTGTTATTTCTATGAAAAAAAGATTTCCGAATTCAATTTTATAGCTCGTTTGATCTATCATAAAATAAGATCAATAAGGACAATCCTATATTATTAACAGAGGAATATTTCACTTTTAAATAGAAAATTCTTAAATTTAGAATAAATAATCTTCATCCAATTTCAAACCAAATTGATGTCAACACAAAGCTTACAGCAACATTACTGCAATGTTTGCAATATACTGGGTGTCCCAAAATTCGCGAATCAAAATACACAGCAAGGTAGTTTTCGAAAAATTAAGTAATATATACATGTATATATAAAAGTTATATATACATTTTTATTTCAAACAGTAGTTTTTTCAGATATAAAGGTTTAAATGTAATCAATTACGAAGATTACGTTTAGACGGTCACTTGTCTAATCGCGCGTGTAGTAGTATCAGTAAGTGCACACTTCAGCGTTTAAATGCAGTTCGTAATTGACCATATTTAAACACTTATTTTTTCACAAACTAACGCTTAAAATAAAAATTTACAAATAACTTCTTACTTAATTTTTTGAAAAAAATATCTTAGTGTAGTATTTTAATTTGCAAATTTCGGAACACGTATACCCTGTATATTGCTGAAATGATCTGTGCTGTATAGATCGTGTTATAACATCAGATATAGACTTATCATAAACTTAAAAATATATACTTAAATTTATATTTGTTACTCTTGTTTTAATGCAATAAATCAATCTTATTAATTATTAATTCAAGAGAGGGGACTAAAAAAGAATAATTGATTTGATCTTAATATTTTATTACTGCATAAGGTTGCGATAAGATTAATACGTCAAGGATATTTTTTTGTTTCGTTATCAGAAAAAATTTCTGATAACGAAACAAAAAGTATTCTTGACGTATTAGGAGGGGACGGCTTACGGATAGACGAAGAATTTGTAGATACAAATAATACTATTCTAATCAATTGGATAATACTATTCTAATCTATTGGACCTTGACGTTTTAATCAAGGTAATAGACACAGTAGCACTAATTACGGATAAGAGAAATACCTATTTCCGTCTGGAGTGGAATGTTTTTGGAGAATTAGATTGTAATTTTAGAGATGACGCTTGTTCTTGCAATGCTCCGTCTCGGCACACAACAAATACAAACTATGATACAAGCACCAATTATTGTACAACCTTTGCATGTGCATGATCTATTCTACGAAACACACATCCTAAATTAAACTAAAGAACATAACTCTCTAGGGCTATTCTTTTTGGCCTGAACTTTTGCACCAGTTCATCTTTTTTCCTCTTTTTTCCTTCTGGAGAGAAAAGGAAGAAAGATGAATTGGTGTAAAAGTTTAGCCAAAAAGAACAGGCCTTCTGTTAACATTAAGCCTCCCGCACAGCACCTTTCATTGGAAATATACAGGGTGTCCCATAACTCACCTGACGACGCTCGTGGGCAGGTAGAGCGGACTAAACTGAGTCGAAAAGTCCTCTACTATTTTGTAATTTTCGCAATAATTAACAAGATATTAATTATTAAAAATTGCCGAATATCGGTCTTCAATAATTTTTTTCTCAAATACTATCAATTTTACAAAAAAACTGTAAGAGATAAAAATTGTTTATTTTCTTCTCATAGAATTCTAAGAATTTTTTCAGAATTTTTTATCAACTTTTTAAGTACTGCATTTTCTTATTTTTACCATCATGAAAATCCGGTATTAAAAAATTCTGAAAAAATTCTGAAAAAATTCTCAGAACTTTATGAGAAGAAAATAAACGATTTTTGTCTCTTGCAGTTTTTTTGTAAAATTGATAGTATTTGAGAAAAAAATTATTGAAGACCAATATTCGGCAATTTTTAGTATAATTAACATCTTGTTAACTATTGCGAAAATTACAAAATAGTAGAGGACTTTTCGACTCAGTTTAGTAGCCCACGAGCGTTGTCAGGTGAGTTATGGGACACCCTGTATATTAAATACGTATCTATATTGCATTTATAGTACATTGCGTTTCATTTCATATCAAATAAAATCCAGGTAGAACACGGAGTCATAATTAAGTCATAATGGTATCACAGGACGTCATGATGATGTCCTCATGATTTCTGTGTTCTACTTGGGAATGTATTAAATACGTAATTAACGCAATGGATATGAAATATCCAAGTCGAAATACGTACTTAATACGTATGAAACATGTAGCAGATATATTGTGCATATTTAAATGTATAGATATCAAACACGTATAAGTTGATACATATATAACAGAATGCAGAATATAATAATACGTCATAAGATGACGTACCGTAGAAGCACCACATATAACATTAAAAAAATTCATAAACGGATAGTTTTGAGCAAGTGTTTGTGTTCGTGGTTATTATAATCGACTGTATCTAAAAATAACAACAACATTAAAGTATCATATTAGATCGCGATGTGAACACACAACAGTAAAAAAATAGAGGCTTATTTCAGTCAAGTTTGAATTTTTAATGCTGATCGAAACAATTCGTGTGAAAAAAATTTAGGTTAAATAGTAAAAAATAATTTAAATTATATAGTAAGTCAAAGGTAAGTTCCCTTGATGGAAAAAAATCTTAACAAAAAAGTACAGAAAAACTGCATAGATCGAGACAAGATTTTAGAAATTGTTAATTTTTCCTAGATATTTGTAGTAGGATGTAGAGTAATGTAGGATTCACACTGCGTACGACATCCGATGTACAACGATACCGATAAGAGAATTCGATTCTAGTTAGCGATATTTTTATCTACGTATACTTTGTAAGTTGCATATTGCGATGTGTCCGTCGTACGTACGTCGTCGGACGAAAAAGTTAAACCTTGACGAACATTTTCATACGACAAGCATCATCGTACGACAAAATATTGCTAGCTGAAATATTTAGAAAACCAGCTCTCCTATTGGATATCGGATGTCGCATGTCGGATATCGTGTAAATCCTACATTAGGTTTGTTTACCTTTATAGAAATTCTTAGTTTTTCGTAGATATTCGTAGTGGGAAATACAATGTTGTGATTAATTTCACTTTTTGAATCATAAAATTTTAGAGCCAAAGTATCGATCAAAGGTGCGTTCAGGGAGACGCTATTAGCGCTATTTGTGTCATTTTATCCTTGTTTTACGTTTAATAAACAACGAAGATAGAATAACAGAAATAGTGTTATTAGCGTCTCCTCGAACGTACAAGTAATTGGCATTAAAATTTTTTTAAATTCAAAAATAGAATCACCCACTTTGGCCTGTAAATAGCTTATATAATACATATACATAATACATTTTGAATACGTATTTGCAATATTAGGAATACGTATCAGATGCATAATTTACGTATTTAATACGGAAAGAATATATATTGTCAAATGTATATGCAATGTAAATTATGTATCTATAGGAGATAGCACGGAAATTCATCGGTATTAAATACGTATCTGATACATGATTTATACGAAGAACAGGCCTATTAACTCTCTGTTCTTCAACATAACGTCTCTTTTGTTTATTTACATCCGCAAGACTCTGGCCAGATTGACTTTCACTTGAAATTTTAAGCAAGTGCTATAAAAGAAGAAGAAGAAGGCTGCGAATACACGACTACATAAGTATTTAACGGGCCAAATCGGAAGTATGGATGAGCAGGATGAGTATTGTTTGTTAAAAAAAGAGCTGAAACAAGTAACCAGAAAAATTATGGAGAATACATTTAGCATATCTAACGCGGAATGTGCTAATTCATCTTGGGACGAAAATGCAGAGCGTAAACAATTACGTGAGATGATTAATAAATTGGTAAGTTTTGTCTCGCCTGTCTGTCTAAGTATTCTTCTTTTTAACGAATATTTCTGACTATCAGTTAAAATTGTAATACTTATGTTCTAAAAAGATTACGAATACACGACTACATAAGTATTTGACGGGCCAAATCGGAAGTATGGATGAGCAGGATGAGGTGAAGAATGAGTGTCGTTCGTTAAAAAAAGAGCTGGAAAAACTAAGCAAAAAAATGATTAAGGAGAATGCACCTAGCACATCTAACGCGCAATATGCTAGTTCATCTCGGGACAAAAATGCGGAGCGTAAACAATTACATGATACGTTTGATAAATCTGTAAGTTTTGTCTCGCCGTTTGTCTAAGCATTCTTCTTTTTAACGAATATTTCTGACTGTCAGTTAAGATTGTAATACTTATGTTCTAAAAAGATTACGAATACATGATTACAGAAGTGTTTGATGGGCCAAATCGGAAGTATGGATGAGCAGGGTGAGCTGCATGATGAGTGTCATCGGTTACAAGAAGGGCTGAAAAAACTAACCGAAAAAATTAAGGGGAATATACCTAGCTCATTTAACGCGCAGTATGTTAGTTCATGTCAGGACATAATTATAGAGCGTAAACAAATACATGATATGTTTGATGAACTTGTAAGTTTTGTCTCGCCTGTCCGTCTAAGTATTCTTCTTTTTAACGAATATTTCTGACTATCAGTTAAGATTGTAATACTTATGTTTTAAAAAGGTTGCGAATGTACGACATAAGTATTTGACGGGCGAAATCGGAAGTACGTATGAGCAGAGTAAGCTGAAGACTGAGTGTCGTTTGTTAAAAGAAAAGATGAACAAACTAACCAGGAAAATTAAAGAGAATTCACCTAGTACATCTAACGCTCAATATGCTAGTTCATCTCGGGACAAAAATGCAGAGCGTGAACAATTACATGATACGTTTGATAAATCTGTAAGTTTTGTCTCGCCTGTCCAAGTATTCTTTTTAACGAATATTTCTGACTATCGGTTAAGACTGTAGCACTTATGTTCTAAGAAGGTTGCGAATACACGACTATATAAGAATTTCATGGACCAAATCGGAAGTATGGATGAGAAGCAGGAGAAGAATTGTTCGTCAAAAGAAGAGGTGAAAAAACTAACCAGAGAAATTAAGGAGAATATATCTAGCACATGTAAGGCGCAGTATGCTAGTTCATCTCGGGACAAAAATGCGGAGCGTAAACAATTACATGATACGTTTGATAAATCTGTAAGTTTTGTCTCGCCTGTCTAAGTATTCTTTTTAATGAATATTTCTGACTATCAGTTAAGATTGTAGTACTTATGTTCTTAAATTCTTAAGTAATTCAGGATACTTTCGAAATTCTCAGGCTTGTAACTGGTTAATAGGAGCTCTTGGTAAATCATTCGTAGAAAATCTGTATGCGTCTTTTTACATCAAAATTAATTAAATTATTCTAATTCTTTCCTTTAGCCTCTATAAAATTTTCGGCATTTCTCTCAAAAATATATATAATGAACCTATATAAATAAATATAATAAATTTCATTTAATATTCTTTATCTAAAACGTTTTTTTTAACAGTAGGTATTACATATTTATAACGAATCTGATAAATTCTTTGCCTCTGATGCAGATGCCCAGCAATCTTGTGATAAAAGTTGGACTGCGATCTATCCATGTCAATAAATTTGTGGTACAGAATTGTTCTTCATATTTCAAAAAGATAGACCAATTTATAACGTCTGAAGACAGTCAAGAGTGAGTATTGTAAAACAACCCATGTTATTCTTATTAAGAATATTTTATATTTGATTCGTGTGCTTCTCCTTATAGTGTTATCAGGCTCGATCAGTTTTCGTATGTTACGGTTTACACCTATTTTAAATATATATATACCGGCGACATTGATCTTGTATCTTTGGACAAGAAATTTGGTGAATTTCAATTATAAATATGTACAATTATACGTTGTTGTTTAAAGTTCACGACTAAAATCATTTCATTGCAGATCTCTTAATAATGGCCGAAAAGTTCAACGACATTCATTTGCAAACAAGTTGCTATAAGAAAATAAAGGAAGAAATAACTAAAGAAAATTTAATCTTTGCTTACAAAACTGCGCAAAGGTATAATAACAAGGTAATTGGCAGTCTCGAATTTTCCTTTTTTTTCTATTATTTTCTCTTTTCTGGAAGAAAGTACCATGACCTATATTCTATAATGAAATTGATATATTAGTATTTAGTTCGATTGCAATTTGGTTTTATTCTTATTTTTAATGTAGAATATTTTTTCAAATTCTTTATGCTATTTATGAGTTAGGAGGATGACAAGATTGGAGATTAGTTCTGAATGTATCGTTGGACAATTTTTCTATTTTCAGTATTGCTTTAGAATTCATTAACTGCAGAAATGTATCTTTATTCCTTATTTATTTATTCAACAAAATGAACATTGTATTTTTATAATATTTATATGTATTCTCTCTCCCCACATTAATTTTCAGATAGTGCAGGAATATTGTTTTGAATTCTTCATAGAAAATACAGATGCGAGTAACACGGATAGCTTTAAAGAATTGGATGAACATACAAGAAGCACTTTTATAAATGAAGCGAAAAAATCTTATGGTTATTTTAAGCTATGATTCTATTTATTTTAAGAAAGTAACATACATTTTGATAGAAATAATCATATCAAACTTTCATATTAGTATTTAGGGGAGAGTGGTCTAAATCGGACCGTGTTCTAAATAGGACCTTTTTAATTTAAATGAATACGCTTAAGCAGATTTGCGTACTATTTATAATGTAAAGTCCTTATAAGACACCGAACATGTGATAGCAGTTTCTCTGTCATAACATTCATAAAATAAAGGGAAATATGTATTTTCAGCCATCGTGCGAAAATTTTTTTAAAAAAGAAAATCCTTGTAAATCATTATTTAAAAGGTGTTAAAATTTGAAAAGTAATTGATTTAAAATAATTAAAGAGTGTAGAATTAAAAAATATCAAGCGCGCATTTCGTGATCACTTTTGCGGTTTATTGTAAGATTTGTTCCAAAGTTCGAAAGGACCCGTGTCCAAATCGGACAATACAGTGAATAACTTATAGGCCTGGTTGTAGTACTGGTAATCGACTGACTAGATCTGGTCCAAGCAATTAAATCAATAAAATATCATGAATCATCAGACTCAGATTAATTGAGTTTTATTGATTTCAATTCTAATAATATAAACAGTCAGTATTTTCTTTTTTCGTGAAAAAAATGTTTATCTTTGACTGTCAAATTGCTCGTTTTTACTCAATACTAAGAAAAATACATTAAAATATTTTAAAATTTTATCTAAAAATCCATAAAAATAGGAGTTTTCGATTTGAACCAGGGGATGGTCCGATTTGGAACCAATAGTTCTAAATCGGACCGGAAAAAGCATTTTTACATTTTCCATTATAGTTTAACACAAGTGAGAGATACGTCAAAATAATCTCAAGTAAAAATGAAGGGAATTAAATGATCTTTCCAACAGAACCTTCGATTTTACGATCGGACTTTATTTATGCCTTATAGAGAACAAAAACTGCAAATAGATCCGATTTAGATCACTCTCCCCTATAATTTACAATTAATATTAACATTAATATTTAGTTAATATTAATATTTATATTAATATACTACTTTTTATTTTTAATTTATAATGTTTTTTTAATAAAAATATATTTTTTTTAAATAAAATATACCTTAAAGAGTAAAAAAAATTTTTTGACACTGTGCTAGTAATTAGTAACAATATAACTGACAAAAATTTTATTCAAATTTTATTTAAATTGTGAATTGAAATAAAAACTTTCTTATTAAAAAATGATTGACCGTGCACTGCTATAATTAATTTTCACGCTATACATATTGATACATCCTCACGTATTCCCATATAAGAGTAGAACTTATAGTCCGATTCATTAAGATCATCAAGTAAAGTCCTTTCATCAATGTATGGAATCGAGGTTATCATGAGGAGACTCACGGCGAATAGCTGATCGATACATAAGAAAGGATAGAGCACGCAGGAGAGATAATCCATGTTCTCTTTCCCCTTTTTTCTTCTTCGTACTCTCCACGCTCTCGTTGCACGAATACACACACGGCCACCGTGTGACGTCGTTCAATATTCTTGTGTTAATTTAGTCATAAATCAATTTTTCATGCCCTCCTGCTATTCTAGCTGACACGATGATCCGCGACATCCCTTGGTAGTTCTCAGAGCTTCCTCAGATAGGACACAGAAGTCATGAAGTTGCAGGCCTATTCTTTTTCCATATCCTAGGACTGAACTTCTTGCACGGTTCATTCCTCTTCTTTTTTTCACATTGGAGAGAAAAAGATAAAAGATGAACCGTGCAAGAAGTTCAGTTCTGGGATATGGAAAAAGAACAGGCCTATCTTAAAAACTACCTGGGCAATCCCCTGTAAGTGAGAAAACGACGGTGTTTTACTAACACATTGTCTTTATTAGTCCTCGTCTAGGATTTTACATATCATCTAACGAGTCTTGCGAACTATCGCACGTGGAGTGACATCGACTATAATTAATTCTCGTTGGAGTTATACAATATATGTATGTATATAAAAGAAAAAATGCGATTAATGTCGCGAGGACGCGGTTAGCGATACTGTAAAATTAGCCATCAAAACATCATAAAAAAAGAAAGAATAAAACGATTTAGACAAACAACACGATAAATGTGTACATAACGATCGCGCGGCGAACTCGATATTTCGCGTCTACCGCGTTTATTGTTATTAGTCTCTTTTTCGTGGCACAATGAAGAAAAAGCCACTTCTGCGCCCCTAATCCTTCCGGGTCAATCTGACTCCGTGAGATTCACGAAGAGAAAGAAGATTGAAATAAATAATTCAACTGTCACACACGTAACTGTTTACTTTCAGAATTATTTATATTTTACGTATTCCGGAAAATTCTCGGTGTACTCCTTTTACGTTAGAAATATCGTAATCGATTACGATTGATTACGTGACGTACGGGAGGTAACAATCCTTAGTTCTATGTCAATTTTCTTTGGGAGAATTTGGAGTTCGAGAAAAACACTTCATGCCAATCATTCGTGCTTTATAATTGAAAGTATCCGTCTCTTTCGCTACAATAGTTTCTTTTTCAAAAAGAAATTAAACGTTGTGAAACTCGAGTCTTTCAATACTTCCAAAAAATCGGAATTAAATTTATAGGAAAATATATATAAATTTATTGGAAATATCTCAATTTTTCTTACTTGATTCCGAAAAATTACAACGAAAATGTAAGGCGTTCATAAGATTTTCTTTAATTTAGTACTTGAGTAATAAAACTTTATTCGACATTTTTTCTTGCGCTTCTAAATTCTTTTTTCTCGTAAAGAATTGACATTTAATTAAGGAGCATCCTACATATGTGTATATATGTATTTATATAGATTTTTTACGAAATAATACGCGAGTCATATAATCGTGCAGTTATCATCATCGAGCTAACGTTATAACACGGAGTAAACTTATTTCTACTCGGGTTGGGCAGTACTTTATACATTTATACAATTTCCTATAAACACTTTCGAGTCTCCTTAGTTGCGCAAAAATATACTCTAACGATTAAAACAATTACATTACAGGATATAAAGTTCGCAGGTAAATGCAAATTCGTCGAATTTCGCTGCGTGAAGTATCTTTAGTATACATTACAGATTGCACTGGTAAATAGTGTGAAACTTTCGAGTGTGAAACTTTCGATTCGTTTCTGACCAAAGAAACAATGTTTTTTTTTCCACGTATAGCAAACATAACGTAGTACGAGATGTAATTTAATATATGCGATATATATTATGAATGGAATTAACGATGGAGAATAAATAAAAAATTTATATACGATCTATTTCGCTTGATCTCGGAATTACAACAACTTTTGCGTTTCAATTATTCTCAAACTATTACAACTGATTGCCTCGAAATAGTTATGAATGCTCAGTTTCGTATCTGCATAATTTTGCTGACTAAGAACTAAGAACGACGTTCATAGCATTTTATGAGTCATTCCACAGTTCGCTCTTTTGAAAAAAAAACAACGTAGCTCGAAATTCTAATAGTTTGCCGCTTTCTAATATTTGCCAAGCGCTTTTCTTTATCTTGAAAGTGACACCGGAAATTTATCACAATACAGAAATAGCAAACTTGCACATAATGCATCTAAATAGCTGATACACACAACAAAGCGAAATAGATCCATGTATAGATTTCTCTCTTGTTTCTGCACAGGTTCTGAATTCATAGACCCGTATTCAGAACGCGCTTTTATCGATAAAAGTGTGCTTTTATCTCTGAAATTCTATAATATGCGTGACGTAAAGTATAGTATGTTAGCGCGCTAACATCGTTGTTAGCACGTTCTGAATACGGGCCATAAATTATATCTCACATATCAACTAACGTCCCGTACATTGTTATATAAATATTGTAAAAAAGATAAAAAAAATCAGGAGTTAATGCAAATGCACTATGATACTACGTTAAAGGCACTTGAGTTTTAGAATTAGCCTAACTAGCATGGTTCTTAAAACATCGCGATAAAATTACGACTTCGTAAATAATTAGCGCGTTTCACGCGCGCGCGCGCATGCATCCGAAATGCAGTCTAAGTTATATGGCAGTATTAAGTCGTTCTTTACAAATATCTCAACAAAAAATAGAGCAGACCGTTCGAACGAGTATGCGGGCGGCATTCCCGATTATTTGCAAATTATTTGAAATCGCATTTCGTCGCAACGACGATGCGATTCTTTTTTGAAAATCTCACATCTTATCCTTTCTTCCATTTTGAGACGCGTTATTTCCCGGCATAGGTCGGATTCTTGAAGGTGGAAGTCGCTTGTTTATAGATTGGATTCTCTCCCTATAAAGCGAGGAAAAAGAATATTTTATACTAATTTGTACAGAACAAATCTTACAAAAAGTAGTACTTGAGATTTTGATAATATAATTAATCTCATATTATCTTTATATTAAATTATGTACTTTACTCCATTTTTTATATTTTATTGCATTACGAGTCCTTTTTTTAATACCTTTTAATTTTTTAATTATACTTTTTCAAAAAAATAATTACAAACTCATCCTGGTATTCAAGATTTCCTTCTATTTTTAAAGTAAAAATTGATTTGAGAAGTTTAATTTTTAAAAGCTCGATCTAATTATGGTTTATAATAATAGAAATACGAATCGTACCGTGTCCCATTTCGCCATCATTCTCTCCTTCTCAAATCGAGCGAATTCTCGTCTATCGTGTATAGTCGTCAGCAGCTTCCACAGCAGTAGCAATGCAAGACCGATCAAGACCACCGCCGCGATCACGCCCAGCACGATGCCGAGCATGTAGACCTGCGGCGGGCACTCACGCTCGTTCTGAGCGCGCACTTGCAGGCAATTGGTCTCATTGTAGTAGTAGACAAAGTTATACTTGCAGTCGTCCTCGTCCGTGCCGAAGCATGGCACCTCGTCGTTGTCCACGTCGACGATTACTGTCTCAACTCCCTCAGGCACAAATTCCTTGCAATTCCTCGCGCATTCCTCCGGAACGCTGTAGTTTCCGGTGCCGTACATC